GATTTAGAGAAAACTAAAGGGATAGAGAAAGTGATAGAGATGAAAAGATCTCTGAACGATTGAACCATTTGGAGTTCTATTAAACTTCATCTCAACGTCTATCATTGACATTAATTAAAATGTAGAAAGCTACTAAATTATTCTTTTGCATTTGATTTTATTGCATTTCATCTTTTTTATTTTTTTTACTCTTATCATTGGCTATATATTAGAATTATAATTATAATTATAAGTATTGGAATTCTCTTTTTCTTTCAGATCCCAGTAAATTCAAATTAATTATAATAATGTAATTTTTTATCTCTCTATTTTTTGCTTTTACATAAATAATTGAATAATTAACTTTTATATTATATAAAAAAACTGCTTGAAGAAATTTAAACTGCATTTATATAATTCATAATTAAATTATTACCACAGTTTTACGTAATTTCGTAATAAGCGAAAAGAGAAGAAACATAGTAAAATAGACGCGGCGTGTTTCGATCGATTTGATGGTCATCCAGCGGATGATTGCATTATTCCAATTGTTTCTTCCACAATGTCTAACCGCGAAACAGATTCCACCTGACTAACGGCGGTTTATCGGTCGGCCTTGGCTTATGACGGATGAATCCATATATGTACTACGGTATCAGCAATTTTTATGCCGTGTATAAAAGCGATGGAAATGGACGAGATGAACGTCGCAGATGAAGAGCACCCGAAGAAAGAGATATCAACAGCAACCTCTGGCGCACCTGCTAGGTCAGCGCATCGATCTCCGGAAATTCACGGCCCATTCTCACCCCCTCGTCCCGAGACCTTATTCTTCGTCGTGTCTTCTCCCGCCACTTCCATGTATCATTGTCTTGCACGTCCGGCCCCTCGACAAGAATACGCGGCACAAAACGCCTTGTCCCACTATTGTCTCGGTTACACCCCATTCATGAAGCAGTTCGAAGCCTCTGGTCGATAGAGAACTTAGACATATGCTGCACTATCATGGCCACTCGCACGTACATGTGCACGCACATTGATATCGTACTAAACTATTGGTGGACGGAGTGGATTGTATTTTCAGTATGTCGATACATCGACGATCTTGAAGAACCAGGCAATGCGAACGTTTATTGTCTGACATTTCTAAAGAGCTTATTCGATGCGGATGCAGGAGGATAAAGGCATTCTCCTGAGATTTTCGTCCGTGTAAAATAAGAGGGAAACGTGCCGAAAAGTGCACATGGATGTACGTTTCTTTTTTTTTTAAAACGTGATACTTTATGGAGATCACAATCACTTGGCGAGGAAAGCTATCAGATGTTACTTAAAAATCTGCATGAAATATTGGCACTAGTATCTTTTCATGAAATCTGCGTTTTACGATGAATCTGCGATACAAATGTTATGTCAGTATCCGGATCCGGAAACATACATGTCATAGACGCGTATCGTAAAATGTAGAATTTTATGAAGACTCGAGGCTACGAGTTTTTTTCTCAAACATTATTCCTACAAAAAATAACACATAAAGTAGAGCAGAATATAAAGATGGTCTTGAATCTTTTACGGAGAGTAATTTATATTTCTTTTTTATTTTTGTTACATTATTGTGGGAGTAACTTAATTTAATGAAATAAAAATATCCATAATGAAAATTATATCAGTTAATTAAAATTGAATTAATTAATAAATATAAAGTTTTATAGAAATCATTTTTCTTGGCGCAGAGGTAATTCTTGTAAAAAAATATGTTAAATTTTACTCTCTCTCTTTTTGTTTTTGTACAAAAAAATAAATATCTCTATCAGTATATTTATTAAAAAGGATAAATTTTTAAAAAATTATGAGATTAATAAATAATCAAAAATATATACTAAACTAGTCAAGTTATGAATTTATATAAGCGCTCAAGCGATGTGTTATTTCAGTAGTAATAAAACCTAGTACCTGATAATGATCATTTATAATTTATTTTAAAGACGTGTGACAAGTATGTGAAAAATAAAACAGAGATACGATCTCTCATGAGAGCTATCTATCTTCGAACAAGAAACGATAGTCATTAAACAATGAAAAATGACATTTATTATTTCGAAATATACAGATACGGATTAAACTTAGAGAAAGTTTATTAAGAAAAAAAATATTGCGGATTAATTACAACGAATATAAATCTCCTCTTTTCTTGTAAGAAACTCTCTTTACTATTTTTTTCAACAGAGATTATACAACTCCCTTGATGATGATAGCGAAACACAAACTTCATGCAATCTTGAAAGCATTTTTCAAATGTTTGCAAAACTCCGAATCTTAACAGAACATTATTCTCGAATTAAATCTTTATATAAAAATATATATAGAGTGAGATATACACTTTTGTTGTTATAATAACTTATACACTAGCGAATTCGTCGCAAGATCATGTATATTCGACGTATGTGCACTTTCAAAATGAGGATCAAAATGAAGAAAATATTTACGAACCACTCTTGAAAAGATAAGTTGAAAATTGTCCAACCAAGTCTCGTACCAGCCAGCAGATCTTTTTAACTTAGTCGTACCAGTGTACGTGAGTCGCGCGGCGACCGCGTATATATTTTATGCTAGAATTCGCGCGAACGCTTCAAGAATCCATTTCCATTCGTCATCGTGTCGATACCAGTTTTTCTCTTTTCTCACCATTGATCCCCTCTCTATCTCTCAAGATAATAGTAATTTATCACGAAGGCTCTGTGCCATCCTGGCTGTCAGATTCGCGTGTCGACTATGTTTCTTCCTCTCACAGCGATATTACACGTTTCGCGATTTAAACCGCAATGCTGTCATGACATCCATGAAAAATGTGATATATAGGATTTAGTTCACAATCTGCTTTGCTATTGCACAACATATGATTTGTAATAACTAAAACATTCTCAAGTTTTAATTGCAATATATTTTGGAGATTAATTTCATGCATTAAAATAATAAAAAAAAGATGAATGTATTATTATATATTATGTAAAAATAAAGAAGAAATAATATATAGTTGTAAAAGTACTATTATAGATCAAAATTTAAATTGGAATGACAATATATATTGCATTGAATATTCTCAGCCTTTATTAATTACATATTTGTCTTTCGATGAAAACGTATCAGTTTGCATTATTGATTTTGATTTATTAATGTCAAGTTATTGTAGATGCCATCCTCATTCATTATAAGATGAGGAGAGTAAAATTATATCGTTATGCAAATTACTTATGAGTGAAGAGACATTCCGACATTATATGAGATGTCCATTATAGAGGCACAATTAACGATATTCATTACGAGTTGACAGTATCTACGCCACTAATTTGATAATTGATGCGAAAACCAGAATATGTGTCAACTGCAGCGTGAAGCACGGCTGACATCTTAATTATCGAAGATAAATTATGATCGATATAAGAGCAAAGTATACAACATTGATAGGAAATGAATAGCAACTCTTATACATTTAATCAAAGCTCGATATTAGGAAGAATAATTTTATATCATTTGTATACAATATATGTATATCAAAATATAAAATTTTTCATGTTACATAATCTTTAAATATAATGTGGATATAAATATAATGCAGTAAGGGGGAGAGAGAAAAAATAAAAGAGAATATCTGCATATATTTATTATTTTGTATAATATTGTACAATCGCTTTGTAAATTATTGGATTTATGATATTTCAGAAAATACAAAATTTAGAAACGTACTTTCGTGCCATTGCGGAAAATATTATATTTGTATTTATTCACTCTCTCTCTCTCTCTTTCTCTGTCTCTGTCAAATGTTGAGTAATACTGACCTTATTTCATACGCAACAGGTTTCGAGCATTGTAATCGTGTTATAATTGTTGATTTTTTATCGCTTAATTCATTTTTCGGATGTATACAAACAAGCGGATTGAGAACTTGATTAATGTCATGGGATGATGCCAAACTAGAATTTACGTAAGCTAATTGTCTCTGTAAACAGAGATGTTGTGAAAGTCATGGATATGCATGACACATGACGTTCGTTAAGCCAAGTAGCTACGTCCAGAATGTTGTCAGACATGACGCGCTGCAGGAATGTGCTCCAAAGATGCGACGAATACTTGCTCAGTATGTACTTCATGAAAATAAGTTTTTAATTCAATTTGACGGATACTCTGCATTTCTACAGACTTCATTCAATATCGAAATTTCAACAAAATATCTATAATATTCCTGAACATTGTTAGTATTGAACAAAAAGTTATATGTAAAATATTTAGATTCTAATATAATATAATAATATTTTTGAAAAAAATCATTCGAATTCTTGAATAGGAAAGGAGGATTGAGATCTCAATTTTCTCTTCGAAAATGATTGGTCAACATTCGATTTTCGAAGGCATCCTCATCGAGACCCAATGAAATCGTAACAAGACGGTGGAAGTAGGTAGATAGTTGGAGGTAATACTCATGTAAAAGTTGGATCGAGAAGTCCCCGCTTCCTCGTAACTTGCCGTTCCGCATCTCTGTGAGAAAACTCGAGTTTTTTTCCGCACTTTCAAGTTCGCCTCGGTCTCCATTCGCGTTGAATAATTGCTCGTTAAGGCGCGCAGAGTTTTTTTCTCGTTCATCTTGGCGGGCCAACAACGTGCGAAGAACGTGCTACACTCAATGTTTCTTTCCACTATGATAATAATGCCATTTGTACCCATTCACTTCACTTGGAAGATGCGCAATCTTTGTCGTTTGCATGATATTCAGTTGATACTGGCTCCTTGAGTCATTTTCCTCGACGTCATAGCAATTTTGAATCTCATTCCAATGAAGAAGTTTCATAAGTAAAAAATTTACAATATTAATGTGATGAATATTTGCGCTAAAATATAATTCACGTGTTTCTCAATGATAAATTCGATTCTTCAGAAAATATATTTCTGTAAGTTGTTGAAGAGATTATTAGATTATTAGCTGGTCTCACGCGAACTCTCTATCGAAATTTCCACTTTTCTGATTCTAGTGCGATTCTGGAGTGGCCGTGGACAGGTTCTTTCATGCCTTGTACTCGAGGAAGAAGAAGTATCCTATGCCATTCTTGCTCGGTACCGCTTGTTCCGAGGTCACTGAAACATTAGCCAAGATTGTACCCTATTGGAACGTGATTCAAGTATCGTTTGGCTCGACGGCACCGGCCCTCTCGGATTCCAACGAGTTCCCTCTGTTCCTACGAACCGTTGCACCCGACTCGAGTCACAATCCGGCCAGGATAGCATTGATCAAACACTTTGGATGGAACAGCGTCACGGCTCTCTCGCAAACAGGCGACATGTACTCCTTGGTAAGTAGGTCGTAAGGAATGCCACACAAGCAAACCTCCCTTTAATTTATCGGAGCAGTTTCGAGTCGAACGGTTTTCTATCACTTTAATAGTCTGCACCGGAAATAACTTGTATCGTGTAATATCGACAGGCGTTACATTATTTTTTCTCGAGATCGTACACGAAAGTCTTTAAAGTCCATTTCATCCTTCACCTAAAGTGTTTAAAACATACGTATCGTGTCTAGATAGGACTTGAAATTTTGAAGAGAACATGTTCTCTAGCGCGAATAAAACATGTTCTCAATCTGCAGACTAATTGAGAAATTTCGTAATAACGTTGAAAATCGAATCCTTCATAAAGAATGACATTCAGTTAATCACGATTAAAATCCACGGCAAAAATATCCACTTATAAGTCCAGTGTCTACTCTATCGCAGCTTTTACCGTATAAACGTCGAGATCAGATGAAGTGGAATCCGATGGCCGAAATACGGAGGGAACACATGCCAGTAGGCGATAACGCGGTCGCACGTGGGGACATTTTCCGCGCGATATATGTGTCTATCTCTATCTCGCTTTACGTAACCGCGTATTTAATTGCAAGCTACACCACGGAAGTTCGTTTGTGCTCGATGTGACGTGCGGTCTATGTAGTGAAGTTTCCGTTATATCAGCTTTAATTAACTTTCGATTTGTACCCACGCGTAGTTAACCAGAGCGCCGGGCGTTCGCTATCGCGTTTCGGTTAATTCTCGGTCAATTTCCGTCGTTACATTCTAACGGAAGCTACCACACATTATATCCGGCTTTAATGTAGGCTGGATAATATATCATGAATAAAATCAGATAGGTCCTATTATCAGGATTTTGAAATATGAGGGGGAGGAATTAATAAATAGACGACAAAAAACAATTTATATATATTGAAAACATATGTATAGTTTTTCAATCATCAATTTATCAAATTATCACGAATTTTTTTGGATGTTATGTATTTTTGCGACACTTTAACACTGATCTTCTTTCTTTAATAAAAAGAAATTCGATTTTGTAAATTTTTCTAACAAAATATGTACATACAAGTATCTTCTATTTCGAAAATTAGCAACGATAATTAGGAAAATGTTGCGGAAATCGATGTACTCTCTTCATTGTATCAGTATACATCCCCATCTCGTTAAAATTCATATTGTTTCCAAACTAGATTTAAACTACTTTCAAAATAAACAACTTGTATCCGATGATACGAGAGAACATACGAGTCTACATACAAGTTAGACTACATCATAAAGTATATACATATGTACCATGCTAATTAAATTGCGTAATACAAACGATGCGCTTTACTGAGAAACGGCCGTAATTGCAAGATAAACGAAACGATGGTCCTTTTCTAGATAAACGAAGCAAAACTCACGTCGCGTCCTCGTGTAACGTACGATGCGTATTTGTAAAGACGACGTGCGAGATTCTCGTTTCGTCTAAATAGGACGGGACAAACAAATGGCGCATATTCGCGTTTCCGCATCTATCGCTGGCCGCGTGTTTCATGTTGCACGTATGACGCATCTCTGTTTCAGGCAGTGAACGATCTGGTCACGGAACTAGAGGAGGCGAATATCACGTGCACCGCTACCATCACGTTCGCTGAGAACGATTATAAGGAACAATTGCGAACTTTAAAGGTAAAAGAATCGTGCTTAAATGTCACACACCGTTTTTTCCCTTTTTCTCTACAATTCGACGACGGGCATTTGTAACGATTGTTTTGCATAGTAAGATCCGATTCTGAAGACGGTGGTTCGCTCGACCAGCCGATAGTTCAGATCGTCTTTTGGCCGTAATTTGCCTCCTTTGAAATGCAAAGTTCGTTCTCGCGAGACGAACGCTAAAGTATCGATTGGAACGTTACGGATGCATCAGGATTAAATTTGCACTTGCAGCATTAATGTGCGTGGATTAACTCAATTTTTGATGAAGGGGTAATTTAGCTATATCTTAGATATAAATAAGCGTATATTAGTTGATATTCAGCTCGTAAAGAAGCACGGAGCAAAAATTTAATTAAGATTGACGCGAAATTATGACGCGAATAAAATTTGCAATCATCTTTTTCTCTTTGTCTTTTTCTTTATCAGTATCAATAATTGCAATTAACGTTTACGTAATAATAATAATTGCGTAATAATAATGCTTTATTAATCTCAAACTGAAACTTTCAATAAAAGATATAAAATTGTCATTCTTTTCTTCTTTCTATTTTAATTACAGGAGAAGGATACTAGAATAATTATCGGAAATTTCTCTCCGCAATTGGCTCGACGTGTGTTTTGTGAGGTAAGTTGCAAAAAGAAATTTGATTTCAATGTTTTAAAAATATCATTTTCGAAATATGAGTTTTTTATGGAAGACTTTTACAAAATTATTGTAGCTAAGCTTTTTTCTCTCTTTTTATTATATAATAAAAGAATATTATGTTATAATAAAAGAATATTATGTTATAAAAAAAATATTGGAGCTCTTAGAAATGATATCTACAGAATGATAAAGAACGTAACAGACTATATCTTTACAAATTAATTAATGATGCTTTTAATAAGACTCATTACACAACTTATTTCAACAAAGTTAACTCGTCTCATTTAGACTATTCATACATGTCTAAAGGTTCCATCAATTCGGTTGAAATTTTTCAAACTAAAAAAAAATCTTGCAATTGTCGATAGAATTTAGAGATTGTCGAAACATAATAAGTATATAAATAACATAATAAGTATATAAATAACATGTAAACAGACATGTAACAGTAACATGTAAACTTCGAACTCGTTACATTCATATCACGCGTTTTATTGCGCTTAACCACTGCGAAATTCGTTTATAAAAATTTGATTCTCTCTATGATGCTCATATTTTTAAATATTGTTCAACTAAATCACCAATTATTTTGATAAATTATCTTGTGTAGTGACAACATTATTTATTTTATCTTTTCTAGAATTACTATGAGCGAAAAAAAGAATAAAATGCTTTTTCATAATTACGTTTTTCAAAATTAGATTTTTTAAATTTAATAATTAACGTTATAATCATGTGATTTAACAACTTTACGAAATAAATAGATGTCTATTCTAAATGCTCAATCATTCAATATGTCATTGAACTAGAAAACGCTTCCGTGTCAAGTATCATAAAAGCAATACAATAAATTTTATGGAAAAATAACATGTGGAAGTGGAAAATACTTCCGTGTCAAGTATTACGAGCGTAATATAATAAATTTGATTGAAAAAAAACGCATTCATTATACATAGCCTGAATTTATGTATCTATTCGACAATAAGAATTCACTTTCATACTTTCCATCAACAATTCAAACTTTACAAAATGAAAACTTTAGACAATCGCTTGCAACGTTTGTGGATTTTACGGATACTCAAACTCGTAAAACAACGGTTCTTTTTTCGCAAATGCCTACAAAATCGATGAAAAAAACTAGAACAATCCTATGCTCCATTCCATAGTGTCAGGAAATTTTCAACGAGACTTTGCAATGCTTATAAATCAAGCAGAATTTGATTTCTCTATGAAAATGTATCATACACATACAACAATCTTTTCTATTAAATGAAATAATTTTACTACATGTCGTGAATACATATATATATATATATATATATATATATATGTATGTATTTAATTATAATTATATTTAAACGAAGCAGAGAGAGAAAATGATATATCAAATATATCAGATATGTGTTATCAATAGCTGTATAATGTAAGCACATATGTAATGCCAAGGAGACACAGAGTTTAGCTTCTCTCCTTGCTCCCTTTGTAATTTAAGACCGAACCATTCGCAAAAGCTTTGGGGTCTTGTTTGTGGTGCGAGTTTTGAAGTACATATCCGACTCGCACAGTGAATGAATATGCAGATGAAACATCGGAATATACGTAAGCAAACAAACAGAATGATCCAATGAGAGAAGCATGTTGTATTTTAGATTGCGATGTACATAAACTCTATTATGATCCTTATTTCAAAATCAAAAACGATTCAATGATAATTGATAACATATAGAATCACAAAAAATACAAAAATATAACAATTTATCAAAATTATTGTTACTAAATTATTATTGTAAATTATGAATAATATATGTATATTATATAAATATACAATATAGAATTAAATTATTAAGAGATCATTTAATTAATTTTAGTGTATAGCGAATAAAAATTCCGTAACATTACTATCATTTAATATCAAAAATATAGTGTAAATTTCCGCGTTGTTTCTTTATGTTTTTGTTAATGTACGTATACAATTAATTTTCTCTTGTAAATCCTAGATATCAATTTTTGTTTACGTAATGTGCAATTCGACATAGTTATAATTTCATCGCAACATATATGGAATATTGATATATGAAATAATATACGGAAAGTTATATGCAATTTATTCAAGTATTTAATTGAAAATCGCTAACCATCTAGAGCTTGAAAATCGTTGTATATAATAAAATATCGTAAAACATATAATAAAAGTATATTACATGTATTGACGTTTTTGTCTCTATGAATAAAGTAGGGAAATGCCAAGTTAGACATAAAATGACACAAAATATCTGACGTAAAACAAATCCCAACTATATAACTAGATAAATTCTTTCATTATAAATGAGGTGAGATCCAGAAACAGAAAATGTCTGATATAAAACATGCCTTAACTACTGTGATAAAGACTTTATATCAAATACATCCCACGGGCTTTTGTCCTTTGTCGGATCTTTGGATGCTGGGCTACTTCAATTTATATTTTTGCATTATATCTTCGTAATTGTCATTAAAGTTAATTGAGACAGAAAAGGGATGAATATAATATTAAATTTCCTTGTATCTTTGATCCAACAAATTGCATGTTTTTATGTTAAACTTACAATAATTTAATTTCTACAACATCGCTATAAGCATCGAGTTTAAATTACATCGGTTCGTTGCATTCTGGAATATATGCGCTACTTGCACCTTTGCCACAAATTACCAACTTGCAATAAGTCTTCCTGTTCCTCCTCTCTTTTCTCTCTCTCTCTCTCTCTCTTTACCGACTCGCTGCGTGCGATGCTTTAAATCGTGCTGTTTAGTGTTCCAAGATTTTATGGTTAATTTTCCGAGCTTATTCACGATACTTTCACAACTGCATTTCCGTGCAAGATTAACTCTTATATATGTCAAAATATTTAAAAATTCTATTTTAATAGCAGCATACTTATATGTCCGTTTATAATGTATTATTTCTCTCTTGGGCTAGAATATTTTTATTTAGATACTCTAAAGCAAAAAAAAAATGACTTTAAAGCCAGATTTCCAGTGTAATTGTTGAGCAAATATATGCTAATAATAGCTTACATAAAAAATATTAGCTTTGTTATTAAAGAAATGAAGTATTTTTCCATACTGAGATTTTAGCAATGCGAGACACAATCTAGATAATTGTGCGTTTGGACTAATGCATAATTCCAACATTTTTTTCGCTCGCACTATTATAAATTGTCTTATTTTCATTTAATGGACATTGCGCGCTGCGATATAGCCAAAGGACAGGCCATTGTATTACAATCGCGATCGTGTGTGCCTACGTCAGCGTCCGGTGTGCACATTTGCATTGAAGTATGTATATCGGTTTGCTTTACAAGTTAACCCGAACCAACACGTAACATACATGACATCTTACATACTGAAACATACGACAATTTAAACCTCAACAATAGTACCTATTTCTCTTCGGTTCATGATTGTTCCCACGCAAAATTTCAACGTCGCACGCAAGAATAATTTCAGATTTACACGAATGTTCTCTCCTACCCTTCTTGACCCAACCTATATAGGGGAAGAACGTCAAAATTATGGAACATTCAACTTTAATATCACATTAAGGTATTCATACTCGCAAAATAGATCGGCGCATGGCACGTGTTTCTGTGCAAATGGAGATCCTTGAATAGAGTTTTCAACATAACTATATAAACGATGCATGAAAATGAATTTTCGGAAATGGAGATGAGTTTCAGATACGAAAAGATGATCCATTTTGGACAGTATATATTAAAAACTCAGTGACGCAATTACCATCGTTCATAGATTGATGCCGAATCGTGCTTCTCTTCAAATGATTCATTTGGTCGTTACGTTTTTTAATGTTGTTTAATATTCGTAAGTCACGCTCGCACCGTTTATATTATGGTTACGTAGGGATAGACATTGCCTGTTTCCTTCTCGACACAATGGTACAGTGAAACGGAGAAAAAGGATATAACGCGGAACGAAAGATTAATATCTTGTATAGAAGCTGATGGATTGATAAAATCATTTTTTATAAGCGAACAAAAGGATTATACTTTGTGCTTTTATAGATCGTTATGAACGTAATCATTATACAACAGCGAATCGATACTTTCAATATGAATACTTTTTTATAAAAAGATACTCTAATACTTTCTTATACTCTCTTTTATATTTTCATGTGGCTGGTCATATGACTAATATAAGACGTGACACGCGTTCGAAGAATCTTCTTTTATATATTTTCGTAGGCTTATATTCCGCTAATGCATATAACCATAACTTTATTAGTTACTTTCTTTCTGCCGTTTCACGTTTTTTCAGTTAATCTAGTTACGAATAATCGTGATCTCATTATGCGATGTAATATATTAGATTTTATTGTTTAAGCCATAACAATAACCGTATCCCTATTGTACAGATTTTGCAACGGCTGCATGAATCGTAATATTTGCATAAAAGACTACTTTTACAATCGGTTCATGTGTATGTGATGCAATATTTTATTTATAATAAAACAACCGATTGAGAAAGAAATCGGTAAAAAATCTGCTTACCTTAATTTATAGCAAGATCCCTAACAGCACACATGTCCAAAAGATGTCCAAAGGACATCCATAGAATATCCCAATCTCCTATGGATATCCTATGGATATTCTTTGGATATCTTTCGGACATGTGTGCTGTTAGGAAGATTATATAACATATGAAGCAATTGTTGACGACTAATATCGAGTACATGTGTTTTTGATAGAATTTTTTTCCGGGAGGGTTTTTCTTGAAACAATATGTAATTTCCCACCTGCGCGGTTTCAATCCCGTTTTTCTTTTATTTTTACGCTTTACGTCGATATTTGTCGATGACGCATACGTAACGAAGGCACGATTTTCCAGCGAAATGGACAAATCTCCACTAATCGAGCAATTGAAGAACGGGAATAAGCTGAACGGCGCACGTCGAATCGTACGGTTCGTTGCAAATCTATTATCCTGTATTGAGTGATAAGTTGCTTTGGAAAAAAAGATAACGAATAACAATTCAACGAGTTGTAATTCAGATACTAACACCGCAACATTACATGGAAGAATCGATCATTTAGAGGAAGAATATATCGCTGCATATGCCATTGCGTGCGTTTGTACCATCACTTACTATTGTAATTGTATAATTGATACGATTAAATCAAGAGCGAAACATAACAGCTTCATTCAATTACTAGAAATGGACAGGGGGATGAAATCTTGGCTGTAATAATAATTGTACAAGATAGTGAAATATCCGTTGTTCAATATTTTTTAACGACCAATTCTCTTTCTTCCGTTGCTGCAGAGAGATCACGTTATATGATATACGAACGTTATCGAATAACCTTTAAGTACTTTAAATAAAACAAAAGCACACAACTATCCACTTCTTCCCTAATCTAGGGCTGGACCACAAATAATCCTAGCCATTAACTGCACTACTGCGGCCTTTTGCGCTGAAGCAACAACTTTTTATTACCACTTTTAGTGCACTGGCTTGTAAAGCAACTTGATTTACGAGAATGCACATGTTCGCTTCTTCCGACGTTTTCTTTTAGATGCTTTGATATTCCTGTTCTTCGTTCATATTTATCAAGTTGTGTTTATCACTCACTTGTGATAAAATATATCACTTTTAAAAAACGTGAATTTTTATATGATGAAAATGGTTCCACAAGTATGTGTGTTATCAAAATTTATAATTCTTTATAGAAATAAAATAAAAAAGCAAGAACCAAGTATTTTAATTATTCTCCTATGAGATTTGTCTTATATTTAAATTTTACATAATAACTTCTTATATAATAACTTTAATAGTTATCAAATAATTACATATATATAATATTGTATTAAAAATCTTGTGTTAAAATAAAATAGGAAAATTACCTAAAGTTTTCTATTAATAAAAATTCTTGCAATTATTATTTTACGATACGTTAAAAAATATTTCAACTGTTACTCGCTACGCCAAGTATAATTATTTACTCTTGTGTGTTCAATTTTTTTAAACGATGTATCACAGACATATATTACATAATATATAATTATTTTCCTCTTTATACATATATAGTATATCGCTTTCATAAATGAGTATAATCGCGTCTTCTAGAGAATTAATTACATCTCAAGACGAATACAGATATAATCATTGAGAGAAGGAAGCAGGTGAGATGCTCTCAAAGTACAATTTCATAACGACAACGTACTTTATCCGCTAACTTGACCGGTAAAGCGAAAAGATGTAAAATGCCTTAGGCAGATATTACAATGTTCAAAGTACTTGACAGAGCCATGAAAAAATAAAAGGAGAATTCTAGAGCAGAAGACGGAGAGAGTGCTGAGAGAGAGGTAAAGGCAGCAAGAAGACGAGAGGGAGACACATGAGACGGAATATATTTTACAAGGATATTCTCCCGCGAAGGATCCGCGAGCAACCTTTTTCTCAGAGTTATTTCTCATTATACGGCACATCCAACTTCGTTACGCGATCGTCATAAATATTTCCCATGACCGACACTGCGATCCCTTTCCGGAAAAGACTTCGCCAGATGATATTATAAAAACTGATCGGACGCACAAATGCGACATATAATCCCCCTCGTGTTCCTCAATAAATCGATAATGTAAAATTGATCGATAAGAGAAACGATGCATTTGCGATCGTCCTTGGTTACCTTGACGGAATCGTGCGGAATCGATCGCGATAATACGGCATTATGCTTTGCGTCTATTGTTCGCAAACGCGATGAACCGAAGCAATATTCTTTTATAACCCCATGTTTAATTTTGTTGGTAAGAGTTTCGCCAGTGTGTCTCGCACATAGCGTTAAACAGCAAACTCGTTTAGAATCAATTTTGCGAAATATGTGTATAAAATCTCTTACCTTGAACTCTTTTTACCATAAACTTTGATTTTTCCAGGCCTGGAAGCTCGGGATGCACAGCGGTGATTACGCTTGGATATTGTCAGGTGATACCGTCGACTCATTGACGAATGATTGGTGGTATGCTAATATCGGAGAATGTTCGCGCTCTGAGCTGTCGCAGACTTTGGATGGTTTAATCATCGTCAAGAGCCATGCCACGGTCGTGGGAAACGAGACCAGCGACTCAGGATTGGTACGTCATTTCTGCGAGATTTATCGCATAAACTCCTAAAAGTATTAGCAGGGCTTATTAATAGGGGGCTAATAAAAAAGACAATATTGAATTAATATATTATAAGTGTAAACTAATTTTTCTAAACAACATATATAAAATTTTCCAAGTTTCTCTCCATTTTTATTTACTGTATTCTTTGATCAATCTAAAGTTGGTTTTTCCATTAGCAAAAATTGCACTCGAAGAATTTTATCGAATGTTTTTATATAAACACATTTAATAAAGAATATATCGTCGTTCCGGCCATTACTGTTAACGATAATGGTGACAATTGCGGAATTCTACGTCTAAAACGAAAACGAAAATGCGGAAGCTTAAACACGAAGCTGTAACAATAATAACCCCTCGCTACTGCTGCTGCTGCTGGTAGCGCGCAATAAATGAAGTCCCGCGAGCGGAAATTAGAGTATGCAAGCGAAGAAAGCTGGAGGTCTTGCAACGAACTCACCTTTCCATTTTGTTCCATTAAAAAACTTGTGCCGTAAACATCAAAGTAAAAAGAGACACGTAGAGACCGACGAAATTGTAACAAGTGAGTAACGTCTTTCTACACGTTAGATTAGTTCTAGCGTTGAATTTAATGACGACGAGCCATCATAATTAATATTATCGTGCTAAGTCTACGTTTTCGAATATTCTTGAAAATATAGCAAATCGTGAAAATAGACGAAAATAAATCTTTCGCGAAACCGTGGATCGTGTGCATCACACTTTTCACATCCGATTGACATTTCTCCCACGAACACTTTTCCAATATAGTTCTGTCCCAAGGATGCCGTGGGACATGGTTTCCTCTTGCGATATCATCATGAATAATTTCTGCCGCGTATATCTGTGTAATTTCTCGTTCCACTGGGTGGCAAAAATAATTACGTTTGAAATGCGGAAACTTTAATGACGCTATTAATAAGCCTGATAGAGAGAAAGAGAGAGAGAAAGAGAGAAAGAGAGAGAGAGAGAGAGAGAGAGAGAGAGAGAGAATATTTTTTTATAGTCCTGAATGCTAAAATTAAAAATTTCTACTAATAGAATAAAAAAATTTGTCAATGGTAAATTCGTACGAAATATTAAATTGAAAATTCTCTGCAAATATGATTATTTTAGAAATTATACAGTGTGTATTTTATATAACACACGTGTAACATTTAATCATATTAAACAGTAATGTCGAAGATGGAAAGTTTAACATTCTCCTGAAAGTAATCGCATAACTTTTTAGCCTATTGCAGAGCAGATACGCGTTCTAAAAGTTAAGCCAGTGGAAGAGTATTTCAAGTATGCTGGGAATACACACACACAAAGGGGAAGAGACTCGATATCACATTATATTTCCTTTTAGTGCAATTGTCAAAGTTCTGATTCAGAGCATAAAATTATAAATGCAAGTGTATATTATGCGACGCTGCAGTAATTATTAGAGAAATGATATTTTTATTATTTCGCTTTCTTCTAGCGAGCTTAATGCAACGCATTAGGAAGGTTCAAGGAGACTTATATATTAATCTATAATAAACCGCGATCTGTAATCACTTAATTAGATTTGGTGTGGCAAATTTAAAAAAATCAAAGTTTGTCATCCTTGTACTTATTATGCAAATTTATTCCGATGAATAATCGGGTTGCGACATCCTCGCTTATCCTATTTATGGCGCGCTTTATCGCGCCTGCAATAAAGATAATATTATTAAAAATTACAATCATTTCTTCATGTCAATATTCTGTAAGTTTTGATGAAATTTTGATCCATGTTAAATTAATGACAAGTAAATTTTTTTTTTTACATTTATGCCGTATCTTTCTTTTTCAAATGAAAGTACGTGGGTTTCGTTGATGCAAACGACAAATTAAATTAACGTCCGCTCGTTCGTCGATTCAAACTGTCTCTCCCTTTCTCCCTTTCCTTCTCTCTCTGTCTCTCTACATGCTTCAATTTTTTTAATTATACGACAGAGTTTGCGAATGTTTCGCGAACTGTCCGACACGCTTCATGTGCCATTCTCATTTATTTTTCAGACCAGTGCGAAATTTACTTCAGAGCTCGTTAACAGAGGCGTCAAGGACTCGAAATTCGCAGGACAAACATACGACGCCGTGTGGGCCATGGCCCTTGCCCTCGCTAAAACTGAGGTCCTTCTAAATCGACAGAACGAGAGCATGGCACAGTACACGCATACAAGAAAGGATCTCACTTATCGTCTACTGGAGCAGCTGAAACTGCTGCACTTTATCGGAGTTTCGGTGAGTCGGGACAGGCGAAGGATAAATAAAGCACCGAGAGTGGCCGTTTATTACGTCCGCAAAACTTGAGAAACGTCACGGAAGAGTACAAAATTGCCCCACACAAATCCGTATATACGAAACACGTTCCCTAACTAATATCTTTTCATCTATAGCTTTTTCTTGACTAACTTGAAGTCGATTCTTTTTTTAACAAAAATGTCGAATGAGATTCTTTCCCTTTTAAAGTTTACTTTAAATAATTGAAAATGAAAAACTTTTTTGATGAATTAACTTTAATGAGATACGTTTAAAATCTCGCGAGGTTATAGAAAAGGTTATATGAGATAAGATATTATATATCTATCTACTATTTTTCTTAAAAAGACAAATTAGTATAGGAAAATTTTCATAATTTGCACAAAACTGATATAACGATATCATTAATTTATATTAGCTGATGTGGTATATAAAAATAAAAGCGCATAACTGGATTTACGTTGCGCTAACGAAACTCTAATTATTTTTCATATTTTATATGACACGATTCCAACATTCCGTCATTATTTTACAACAAATTTGGTCATATATTTTTCACATTCTGTTTTCGTTGTGTTTGCAGGGACCGGTTTCCTTCGATGATGCAGATCGCGTGGGCATCACGGCGTTTTATCAAATGCATGGTAAGTGATAAAGATATTTAAATAAAGGATGCGTTGTAAAATTGTTTATATATTTTTTTGAATTTAATCTGTTTTTTTTTTCTATTAATAAGATAGAATTAAATTTAATGAATCAATTTACGCGAACTGAAGGATCAGGGGATTATTGGTTTAGTAGGAGATTTGGCACGATAAACGCCATTTATTGACACAAATCGAAACTTCACTGACGAGTCACTGACACATTTCGCCGGATGCTCTCCGGACTTCACGCTTCACCCATTCGACACCAATGTCAATAACGCCGTTAAGCGTACAATGAGCAAGAGCTTACGCTAGGCAACACGATGAAACGATACAACTGGGTTGAAAGCACAGACAATAGCTTTGGCTCTAACGATGCGGTGTATCGCGTATCCTTCTCTCATTGGAGACAATTGGCGCGTGGACGCGCACATAATCCAATTTATGAGTTTTCTATTACGAGACATACGTCTAGCATCCCGCTAATGCATTTTATTTGTGAGCATTTTCGCATTATTTTAGAACTTCGATTTGTCATAACCAGAAATTTACGATATAGCAAGTTATATATTTTCTTCAATAGAAAATGCAATTTTCCTTTGAGGAATCGTTTCGTATGTTTACTTATATGGTTCTCAAAACAATATTATTCTCGTATGATTGTTTTAATATAAAAAGTTCGAAAGATCAAATCCGCTATCGATATTTCGCAAATTGCCCTATTCTAATATTTTCGCAAGCGATTATCTCTCCGAATACCTTATGCATTTAAATGACCTTTGATTTAAATGAACTTTGATAATAATTATGTTTTATTTTAAGTATATTAAGCAATTTTTATTAAAAATTAATCAATTATGAATCAATTTTGCTATAAATAATAAAAAGAAAATTACACTTATAAATTGTTGAAGAGTGTAATAAATATTTTTAATTAATATAAAAATTGATATATATGTGTATAAATAATTGTAAAAACTACAAAAGAGATAAAAGTAATATGTACATGTAACGATGTCATAAACAATATAGAAATTTGCCATGCTTCTAATTATAGTAGCGTCGCTTTATTTTCAACAGATGCTCGCGTGCACAAATGTTTGTGTTTAAAAACGTGTGCACTGCAACACTATACCTCTTTAAATTAAAAATTAGTTATTTTTTTATTGTTAACGCTACGATAACATTGTAGTACTTGAATATAACGTTAATTAATTCAAGAAAACGTTAGGGGAGAAAGTCGTGCTACGCGCTATACATTACACTATGTGATTATTTTTTCTCTGTCATTTCTTCTCTTCGTATATAATAGCATCCTGAACTAGAAATTTAGTTTGTTAACATTGTTGTAATATTATTTAATTGCATATGCAAATCTTTCTACATATCTTTATACATATTTTTAAAAAATATTGGCATTTCGAATGCGCCTTATGCACAAATAGAATTACCCGCATTTGCCTTAGAAAAGCCACAAAGAGAACTCAATGCAGATATCGTGGTTACCGGTTCACTTTTCCATTTATATTCACCAGAGATAAGTTATTTTTTAAGGTCTTTTGTCAATTTTCTATGTGACTTGATGCATTATATTCACTTGTATTTAAGATATTATTGATTCAATCTTTTCATTCTAAAATAACACAGCTTCGTATATATTAGATCATTAATCCATATATAGAATATTGTGTCAAATTTGCATGATCCATCAATGATCCATTTGTTGCTAATTTTATTGTTAATGGATGAAAACTCGTTTCGTTATACCGCTAATAAATAAGCGTGAAAACTTCTTGCGACATTCCCATTCGTCTAGGAGAAGCTTCTACGAGAAATCGCATAGACTTCGTAAACTGCTAACTTGACGTAGCTCAACTGTGCAACTACTAACTTCGTTCGCGAAACTGACATTGAATTATAAAACTCAGTGCTTCTTGTACTTAAAATTGCAATCAGATATCTCTTGCGATGTGTACTATTAAATTCTTATTTTACTTCTTACATTTAACGATCAAAGAAATTAACATTAAATAGTCCCATTATATTAGCATTTAGCATTTCAATTAAATCAAAGTAATAAATTATTTATCAAATCCCATTTGGCACATGAGGCCTATTGTTTCCTGTTTCCTGATGCTATTTACAAGTGCAATGTCATGATGCGAAATCGAATGTCTCCTGCAGATTGGCTTAACAGGAAATCGATATGTATCGATTACTGGCATTGTGTAACTTCGAGTTAAATCAAATACAGATCCATTAAACATGCATTATCTAGGTAGACAATATTTAATTTTCAACATTGTTATAAGAAGATTGTTGTAAGATTGAAACCAAACAAACATTCTACAAAAGTTTAATTATTATCTTACCCTCTGTCAGAATTTACTTCCTTTTGTCAGGATAAAATGGAGGATAAAAAAATGTATGAATTTCATATCAATATCATAAATCTAAAATTATATATCTCTTTAAGAAATAATTATTATGATTTTAGATTACTTCGATTCTAGATACATTCGCTGGATAATAATCGAATATATTTTATACACACACACATTATATCGTGAAAATCGACTCATCTGCCTTAGCCGCAATATTTAATTGCAATCAATCACAATCACGTTAAACTAGACCACTAGACCTCTACTTTCTCTATAGATTTCCAATATGTGGCACATCATATCTTTTAACATATTCAACCATTTACTGTGATATTTCATTGTTGAAAAAAATGCACTTTTTCTCTTTTTTACAAATACAACGGACTGAGAAATCGCATGAAAAAGTTTTTTACACAATTTATTTCCTGAAATAAATTGACTAATATTTGACCACGAAATATTTACGGCCTTTCGCTGACATGTTTGTTTTATATGACAATAGCTGCATGTTAACTTTCTTTAGTTTTCTCATTTCATTTTGTATGTATGTTACAAAAATATTTTCCTAAAAATGTACAATAAATTTGTTGAAATAAAAATGCTTCATATAATTCATATAAATAGAAAAATGTGAGCTACGTGATAAAAAATTTGAAAACTGATTGAATATATGTGTAAACGGAATATTTTGCGATTAAAATTTGTTTTTGGTGATCTTTGTTTGACGACTTTATGATAAAAAAAGTTAATATTAATACTGCTAATAATGAAAAAAATGAACGAATATAATGAAAACTATAGAAAAATATATAAAAAATATATATTAGCCTTATACCTTTAACTAGATGAAATAAATTAAATTTGCACACATCAAATCGCAATGGCGTTCTGATAACGGAGCGAAAATAAAAATAACCAATTGCATATTCAATTAGTTTTTTGCAGCGTCGCGTTATAGCACTTGCGTTTCGACGCACGAATCGATGATTTCATTTTTCCATAAGTGGAATTCTCCGAGAAAGATTCACTTTATGGCGATTCAGAACGAGAGAAGAAGAAAGAGAGAAAGTTAACAGATCCTGGAAATAAAGAACCGCCTAAATCCCTTGTCGGCGCCAAAGTTTAACGCTCGTAAAGGGTTTTGCACGAGTTTCCGTTAGAACATGGGACAGAGCAAACATCAGCTCGGTCGATGTCGCGGTTTATATGTTTCTGCCAGACAACGGCAGAGTCGTCTGAGTCCGTCTGAGATACAAGCTATAAGACGCGATCATCATCGTAAATCTCGCAGTAACACGTCTAATAATGCTCGACGTTTTATCGATAGTATTTTATACATCGGCAAAGGGTCAATTAGGCATTATTAGTGAAAACGGACTCTTGTCGAAATCGGTAGGAGGAAACGTACATAAAAAAACAAGATGAGATTAACATAAACCGAATATTCAACAATATTACTTATTGTTAGATAATATTACTAATATTTTTTCTGTCATGAATAGGTAACAATCATAAATAGGTAATAATACGAATTTTATATAGCCAAGATAAAAAATTATAATTTTATGTAAGTCATGCTAATATTATTACCGATATACTTTAATGCTAAATAATGACGTTTGAAATTAAACTTTTTTAATTTGCATTGTTTGAAGACTGCAGGCGTAATTACGTGTTAGTAATTACCTCTGTCAAATACCTCCCGTGCATCGTGATAATAATGCAAAATACGACGCAAAACCAAGAAATACTGTAATTGCTTTCGCATTGTTGCCACGGAAAATGTTCACATGTCATCCTCGCTGAAATTCCAAAATTTATTCTGTACAAGAAACCGCGCTGATGAAATTACGATTCATTCCGATTCGAATTAATTATTTGGATACAATGACATTTCTCGTTCGAGTTACCAAAAAAGTTGGAAAATTTATTTTACATTATGCGTATTCGCATAATCCTTCCTAAAGCCGAAAATTGCAACATTAAAATGCAAGGGCTAAGTGCAACATCGTATGTCACAGAGCAACCATGCGTTTCCGCGTGCGCGTGGGTCGAGAGAAATTTGAATAACCATCAAATTCGGACCAGAAATCTGAAATATAGAACCAGAGCGTGCTCGAAAATCCTGCGCGCGGAAAACAAGATTTGCGGGACGGATGGACGCGGTGAAACGGAAGCTTTACGTGCGTGGAATTCACGGATCGGATGTTGGAGATCAGAGTCATCGGATTTTTCGCGTAAAGCAAGCTGTGATAATCGATACGCGCCACGTCAAAGAATCCGGGCGCCTTGCGCGAATGCACAGGAACGCGATCCATCCGCCGCGAGATTCGAGATCTGTTTACGTTCGCTGGCGAGATTCGAGATCCACGGTGCCGCCCCAATGGCGAACAATTTCAAGGGTCAAGAGTTCTCTCTCGCTGGTGCAAACAATGCCGATGCATAATTCGAGTGGTCCGCAGAAGCACCGATCTGCGGTATGCTTACGATTCCGGCGTTAGAATTCTCCGCGAAATCAAGCCTCCCTCGTGGAGTGCATAACGCGCAACCGATAACAAGGAGATATATCCGACAGTGTCAGACCGTGTCAGTAGTACAGCCTTACTTTCGCGC